AATACAGAGACCGATCAGCAGTTATTTGAGTGTTCTTGGAAAAGCTTATGTAAAGTTTTGTAACTTTCTTTTGACATGATTATTTGTCTTGTGTTACATTCATTCTTGGCTCAGTTTTACTGGACTTGGAAGCATTACAGCAGAGATTAATTTGGCCTTTCTGTATGCATGGATATACCTCTAAAAGAAGGCACTATTTTTTGTTTGCACTTCTTTGGAATGTGCTAGCTGACACATTTTTTTTCCTTGCAGGGTAAACAGTGATTTAGGAGTTTAAGCTAAACCTAGTGAAAACTGGCAGTTCGTGAGGTGTGTGGGACTTCTTTCTCCTTGAAGTCTTCTAACATTTTGATGCTCATCTCACAGCTTCTAATCCATGGGTCTTATGATCACACAAGGGTCTCAGCTCCCACTTAATCTAAACCCACACAATTGCAGAGAGAGTGGGGGGAGAAAGGGAGTCATCCTAGTTCTTTAGATTGCAGAAAAATACTTAAAAATATAACACCTAAAAGCTTTACATCAACGTCAGATAACCCCCATATGCACTGCATTTTATCATGGTCATGTTCAGATAAGAGACATTATATGAATACCTGGAACCCACAAGGATGTCCACACTGAGAGCAGAGCGAGAGTCAACCCACATTAGGTGCATCATGAAGGATACAATCCCTGCTCACACCTTCCCATGCTGAGAGCACAGGACCACAACTAGACCTTTGCCCAAGTCACCAGGCTAAGCTGATGACCAGGCACTGATCTGGGATCCTGACATAGCAGCTACAGAAGAGAAAAGAATAGGGGGGGAGCTCAGAGCAGAGATATCAGAGTCAGCAAGGTTAAGTACTGCCCTCAGAACAGACCAGGGCACCATCATCACAGCACGCATTCAACCACCGATACCATTCCATAACCTTGGTGAAGGGACAGTGTGTGGGTGCACTCACTGAGAAAGCAGTACTGCTTGTGGACAACCCGTTTCCCTTCCAAACTCTGCGAACACCTGTACATGTAAAACACCACCCAGCATGACAGCGAGTTCAGCGATGCATATGTATGCTGGCATTGTGATGGTGCCCACAGAATATGATTTGCCACATCTCTGACAGAAGCCACAGCCCTAGTCATTTCATTTACAGGATTTTTTATTTTGCATCTCTACTCATTACTTTTTTCATTCTGCACATTTTGTACACATGGATTTGACATCTTTTTAGTGTATACTCATGGAACTCTTTGCTGCTGTATTTACCATGCTGGATTAGTGTCGGACCAGAGATGTCTTGCTGCACTGTCTAGTTAATTGAAAGCACATCTTCACCCTCAGTCTTCAGGTGGAAAGTGAGTATTCTTCATAAATACTTCAGCAATTCTGCTTACAAAGTAAGTCCTACCTCTCCGAGAATCAAAACTTGCCTTCCTACACAATAAGTTCTACCCTCCTCTGAGCCTCCATATTCTGCAATGACACCAAATCTTTTCCATTCATGGTTTCAGACATCCAAATGTCACTAACTTCTCTAGGCTACATCTACTGCAACCTAAAGCATCATGTTTTTTACTCACCTTCCATCTTCACTGATGTGACCTATCTTGCTCTTGATGGTTCTTGGACATAAAAAACAGACCAAGTATTAGCAAAAGGAAAAGACAAAAGAGGCTGTTTGGGAAGTAGAAACTGCAGAAATTCCCTGCTCTCCACCACTGCAAAAATGTCTCTCCTATCAGAGAGATAGGTCCTCTCTTTTCCAGAAGAAAAAAAGGACTAAATAGTACCTACACACATTCTTGAAGGCTTTGCTAATGTGGTAAAGAACAATCTGAAAATTCACAGATGAATGTCCACTTATTAGGACTGAAGTTTAACAAAAATAATTCAAGTACATTCCACAACGCTTAAATGGAGACCTGAACCCAGCAGAAATCAGTGCCTAACCTCACTGAATCTTCATTGAGATGCCACTTCACTTTTAAGACATGAAAATACCTTTGTAAAGTCCCTGCTTACACATTCAGTTGCCACAGTTTAAAGAGAGTATAAGAGAAAAAGAATGTTTGAAAGAGAAACTAGTTCAAAAGTATAATGTGGCTTAAACTGGACTAAGCTAACACATATCATCAAGATTTTTAATTTCATGGAGAATCTCATCCAAACTTTTATGACTTATAAGATTACCATGCATGGACGCTATCAGCTGTGTCTAATACAAATGCAAGAATATGTGACTTAAGATAAAACTCAAAGTCATATTTCTTGCTGGTTGGATTGCACCATTTAATCATAACTTAACATTTAAGGCCTTAGTCATACAAAGACTTCATAAACATACGACCAGTTTTAATGGGACCAGGAGCAAGGCTTCACATGTTATTTTAAAATTAAGCAACACTTTGTAGGGGACAATGTAGAATTTAAATTCCCTGTTTAATTTCAACTGTACCTTTGTTTGTCAAGCATCCACCAAGTCTATAAACTAAAAAAAGCTCTAGTCTCCTTAGTGTAATTACTTCCTGCCTTTTTTTGCAGAAGTATTATACTCATCCTTGTTTCTGTCTGTTTAGGACAGAAACATTTTTTACACAGGGCAGATAAACATCCTCTTGTAGTTCAATATTGCTCACATTTTATGTATCATGCACTGCTTCCAGTACATCGCTCTTTGTTAAGAGACAACCTAATGAAATCACTGTACATGAGCAATCACCCTACTCTAGTCTTTAATCAGACCTCCACATTTTATCTGCAAGAATCTGCTGTGCAGAACTACGCATCTGTAATAAATTTACTTGCCAACATTGCCCACTGTTCTGCAACTTGAAGATTTATTAATGCCAGCACTTCTTTCCCAAAGGAGCAGGCTCTATGGAAATTGGAGACTTACTGACCCACCAAGTTTTAGTCATACGTCAGTCATTTTACCCTAGATAAAATGCAGCTACCTCTAAGTACAATAACAGCATATTACAACACTGTAACTATACCAGGCTGAGGAGAGGAACTGTGTAAGACTTTCTGAGAACAACACAAGAAATTTAAGTATTGAGAACATAACTGACTGAACTGGAATTTGGACAGCACACTGAGATAATGTTGTCTATGCAAGAAGCACTAGGAGGTTTGGGGGGTTAATTTACGCGGTGGGTATAAATCCAGATGCAATCCCACTTTGTCCTCACAGTGAGACACTAGACATGGACCAACCCTGCTCTGAAAACTTTATTAATGTGAAAATGTGGCGCTGCGTCCACTCTTGTAAGGTTTAACCTTAGGCAGTAACAACTGCTGGCCTTGTTTGGCTTCTGAGGACCTGGCAAAAGCGGTTTGAAAGGTTTTGGGTTTTTTTAATTAAGATGTTGAAAGCAAAGCACTCTCATAATTCAGCATAGGTTTCTATTCCATTGCCTCAGTTTGAAAGTTTGAGACTGAGCAAGTCATAGGGGTAGGTTGGTAGAAACCAGCTCTAGTATATACAGCAGTGATACGCTATAAACTGAGGAAGGCAGAATAAGTAGGTTTACCACACAATTTGGGTTGACATCAGGCATCCCATATCTGTCATACTGAGCTGAGCAGAGTCAGTTCTAAACCAGAGGGAGTTTTGCAAGAGGATTTCCACATCGGATGTTACATGACAGGACCACTGCAAAGTAACATCTCAAAGGTGCGGCCATGCAGAAATGGGTCCCAAAGAGGAATTTGCTTTGCTGCAACCAAGACAATTAGCATCCTGTCTAATTTCTAAAGCTTAGTGGGGTTTTACTTAGCAAAACTGGGTATTTAACTTTGCCCATTGTTTTCTTTGGCAACAAGATCTGCAGGCACTTTCCAGTTAACAGATTTGCTAGAGTTCAATTACGTTTCAGGATGTCCAGGTTGAAGTGTCATTCAGGTTGTTAAATGGTTTTTAGCGCTTATAGTAGCTGCCATAGGGACTGCATACAGGCAATTTTCCCCCGCTCCACTGTTTGGCTCTGCTCCGTCTGACCAGAGGCTGAGCTAGCTGAACCAGATCTAGGCTCAGCAAGGGAGCAGACTAAGAACTCACTCCTGCCCTCGCCTCCTCCCAGGATGGCACCACTCACCAGCTGGATGAGCAAAGCCAGCACTGTCTGCACTCAGGTCCCAAGGGAGCTGGTGAGCTCAAGAAACAGATTTCCTCCCCCTCCAGAAGACCTACAGCCAACACTGAGTTATTCTGCACATAGGATAATCATTCAGCAGAAGTACACTGTTTTAACATGCTCTTTATCCAATACTGTTGATGTGTTTGTGCCGATTCTCAGTGCTTTGGCAGCAGTGGGAGATGAAAAAAACAAAGGACACAGGATATGAGAACTTCCACCGAGAACAAAGAAAAAGAATCTTTTTTTTTCTCTTGGATTAAAGTTTAACGGTTATCAATTTCATGGTTAAGGTTGTAGTTGTCCTTGTCTCTGCAGGCTGCTCTGATTTATGGGTCAAGGAAACTGTTTAATAAAGATTTATAGAAGTGAAAACTTCTCTCCAGGTACTCTCCTTGTACCCTCCTTTGCCTCTCCACGTCAAGCATCACTCTTCTGACAAGGTGAAGGCAACACCCAACCCTCAGCTCTAGACTTCACTGGCTGCGACCACTTCTTTCTGGTTCATCGAAAGAGTGCACAGCAGCTTTCATATCCTCCTCGCTCTGCGCACACACCAAGGCAGCTGCACGCCCTCTCCCATGACACAACTGCACGCAAAATGGACCTATAAACTTGTCCTAAAAGATCCCTTTCCCTATGGCAGCGGCACACTTTCTCATGGGGGTGCTCCTGGCCTTTGCTCAGCTGAGGTCTTCCAAATCCTCTTTCCAAGCGGGGCAGGGAGGTTCTCTATCTACCAACTTACGAGCTGGCGGGACCGGGGCACCCTCGCACAATGCAGCACCTCCTCCCTGGCCGCCCCCTCACCCAGCCATGCCTGGGGGGCCACCCCCAAAATGCCGCTGCCCCTCAACTCCCGCCCAGCATCCTACCTGGCATCGACTGTGCCGCTGCCTCGGTGGTGGCAGCAGGG